TAAAATGGTTCTCAAAGCTACATGAGGATGATATGTCACTACATTGGTAACTAGGGTGACAATTTAGAGCACACTACACTGTTTAATGCCTCAAATGAACTGCGGGTTCGAAAAGGGGGCATAAACTGCAAAGGTGGACCTATAATACACAAATGGAATCAGTCCTGGAGCAGCCTGGCGGCAACGTTCGACGTGGAGTGGGGCGAATAGATGAGGCTGGGAGGGGATCTTAAAGGGCATGGCCACAGAGCTGGGCGTGCACTGGGGCACTGGGAACGTGCGACATGCACTCGGGTTGTGATGAGATTGTGGGCTTGGTGATCTCGGCTAGAGATTGACGAAGGCGGTCCCACCTAGCAGTGAAGGAGAGCGAGAAGAGAGAGGTCTGCGGGCAGCACGCTAGCCGTCTGATGCTAATCCGGCGGCTTTGATAAAACGGCATGTACTGCTTCGATGACTGGGTTGATGGGCTGCACGCTGCTGTTGGGTTGGGCCTGCTGCGCTAGCTCGCCTGGCTGGCTGGTCCTGGTCTTTTTCTTTTTTGTTTATATTTTTATGTTTCTCTTCTCATTTCTGTACGAATTTCAAATTAGTTTCAACATCAAACTTGCTCCAATTTTATTTTGGGGTATTACCAGAAGTTTAAACATTTATTTACGATTTATTGAAATAATTTTCCCGCCATAATAAGTTATAAGCCCTTTGTATTAATTCCCACTTGATTCATTCTCATTTTCCAAATTGGGCTTCTTTTGCTATTCAAGTTTCATGGAATCTGCATTATCCCGCCCATTTGAAATATTTGGTTTGTTTGCTCATTTTTTGGGATTTATTTTAGGTCCCAATTTCCCTTTTGGTTCCGTTTAAACTTTACGTGACTTCAAGGTTTCCAATATTTGGGGCTTACATAATTTTATTTCCAACCCAAAACAATTCACACAAGGTTACTCATATTTTTATGGATCAACTTTTGGGTTTTATAAGTAACCCCCAAATGACAATTGTAGTTGTTATAATTGCCAAAGTTTTATTTGAGCCACATTTTCAAACAATTCAACGACTCCTAAAAAACTTAGCTAAGAGCAACAAATCACACGCATTTTAGGAAATTTTAATTCCCTGTAATTTTTATTATTAGCATTCCAAGTTTGAAACTAAATGGTTGCACCTTGAGGAATTATTTTTAAGTTTGGTTCTAGAGATGTACAGCTTGAAAGTTGCACAACAAAAAAACCGTGTGCAACCATTGAATTGCTGAGGGTCAATTAGAGCGATTCTAAATGTAGCATAGAGATAGATAGAAAATCGGTTATACAAAAGGATATCTACAACACACCAATGCAAATAAGAAGTATTAATGTGCACCAAAGGAGACTTATACAAAAGGAGATCCAAAATGAACACCCACATATCTGTGTGCCCAATTAGTAGGAAGTATTAATGTGAGGAGATCCAAAATGAAGACCCACATATCTGTGTGCACGCATTCTATGGGCTCTAACTATTTGGAAATCCGAATCAAGACTTATTGCATTAATGAAGATATGGGAACTTTTATGTGTGTTAATACGGGGAAGATCTAAAATAAGCATCCATATATTTATGAATATAGAGGGCACTAATACAAGATCTAAAACGAGGATCAACATATTTGTTAGCTAGCACTATTAATTCGTATATCTATGGCTAAGCAGCACACTGCATTTCTAAACCACCACTGATTTGTATATAAAAATCTCAACCCATGCACATCGCTTCATCAATCCATCTCTTCCCTACTCATCATTCTATATCCATTTATCTCCACCTTCCCCAGCTTCAATACATTTCAAGACTTCCAACTAGCCTTATAGCAATGGCAACAATGTCGGCGACCTCCATCCTCTTCTCTGCCATCGCTATTATACTCCTTTCCAATACCCTCGCCACCAAATCCAATGCCTCTGGGGGTGGCAAACCCGAGGTGACCAACTTCATTTTGGAAGCGTGCAAGAATGCCTCAATGAAAAACCAAATATACGACCCCAACCCAATCACGCAGGAGTTTTGTGTGTCGACCCTCAAGTTGGACAATCGGAGCGCCAAGGCTAAAGATATCCATAGCCTGGTACACGTCGCCATCGACATACTCAAGGGCCAAGTTGCTGCGGCCAATGACAATGTCAAACAAATGCTGCACGACACCAAGAATGGCACGGCTACAATGCGTGCCCTCAGTTTCTGCATGGTGGACTACAACCGCATGGTGAGCATCCTCAACATATGTGACACAATGATAAAGGAGTACCATGGTCGCAAGGGCAGTGCTGACGATGGGTTGCTGTCTTCTGAGCTGCCTTCCTGTGTGGAGAAAGTTGACAAACCTTTCATCGACTGTTGGTTGGGCCTTCTTGCTATGGAGGCGAAAAAGTTGTTAGATGAAAATTTTGCGGTGGGCATGTTGGTCAAACTTAACTTTTGCCTTGCTAGCACCATATAGGGCCAATGATTCATAATTTGTTTTTTCTACATGAAATGGTGTTGTTGTAACATCTATTTACCTTCACTTGGAATAAAAATAATGTTACTGTGTCATCAATTTTACTTTCACTTTCGCTTGTGATATATGTGTATGCAAAAAAGTTAATTAGAAAGCTGTCTAGAAAATAGCTATCGCGCAGCTCCTCCATGAGCACGCATCGACGGGAGTGTGGGAGCCAGCCTCCACTCACTGAACCTAAGGGGAGGCAGTGGGAGTGCAACCGGAGGGCCAGGGGTGGGGTGGGAAGAGGAGGACGCCTTGGATCTCCAGCACCATGTCGTCCAGCCCTAGCTTGTGTTCTCTGAATAAATAAACAGTGGTGGTTATGTTCCTGAATTAAAACTTGTTGATTTGCCGTGCGTTGCTCTGAAGATCAGCTGCTCAACTGTTGGTCAGATGAAATTTATGAGGTGTATTTTGTCAGTTTCAGGCCAAAATCACAGGGCACGTCCTTTCCTTCCCAATGAATTTCTCTCTTCACTTCCCAAATAATTTGGCTGCACCCGTTTTTCGTTCATGAGTGCTTGGTTTTCAGTCATTCGAATTTTTAACTTGTAAGAACTTTTCTGTCCTCACTAAGGGGAAACAACCATTGTTGAAATTGTAAACTTTTTGGTCACTTTACCGAACTTCGTTCTAATGGGCGAACAACTTCTCAGTTATCTAGCCCGAACATTGCTCAAATAGGTTACGTACTTCATTGTTTACTTGCTCACACTTTTTTTTAACATAATTGAAGAATTTCTCCGTATCTTGATTGTACACCGGAACTTTCTATGGGTGTACATCTATATCTATATATCTATACCTACCTACTATTAAAGGGAGGATTGTTTCTGCCCGTCCGTCGCGCTTTTTGCCAAAACAAAAACCTCGCACTTCCCCAAAATGAATCCACGGTCCCGTTTAAGTGTGAGTAGAAAAATGTTTTGTGTTTTGTAGAAACCCCCTGAGGTTTCGGTTAATCAACCCATGGTCCTATTTTAAGTAAGAACATAAAACATTTTGATTTTGCAGAAAATCCCCTGAGGTTCATCTAGAAAATAAACTTTTTTTACAGATACAATTTTTTTAAATATTCATATCTTTTAAACTGTATATCCAATTTTAACATGTTATATATGAAAATTGGTTAGGAAAATATGTAGAATTTGAATATGAAGTTTTTTTTACCCGTTAACCATTTTTAGATGCTGCTTAGGGACAGATTCAACTGCTTTAAAAAATATTCACATCTTTTAAACATTAACTCTAGTTTTAACATGTTC